CTGGTCTCTGTTGCTGGAGTACAACTCTATTTCAAAAAACTGTATGCTGTCTAAAGTGATTTTTATTTCTCTCGAAATCTCTGTTTGCTAAGGGCTTGATAGTTGGCTCACGCTAATCTCTTACTCAATTACCCATTAGCAAGGGACAGATTCTGACTGATCCTTACCTCTATCATGCAGTCCATGAAGGTACCTCATTGCTAGGATATTCTGTTTAATCTTTACGCAGACAGTTGGTTTGCAATCATGAGATTTAAATTTATCAGGTTTAAAAATGTCTTGTTTTAGAACCTGTGCTAGAGTCATGCACATGACAGAATTAATAGGCCCACATTGTCCAGTCTCTGTCAGCCCAACAAGGTTCAATGGAATATTTCTTGGACAGAGAGAGAGCTGTTTCCGTAATCAATAAGTTTCTTAAGATTTTAAGAAATTATTTACTTGTTTTTTATCGTACGTAACATTGTCCCTAATAGTGAGTGGATCTAAACCACTATCTTCATTTGTGCCCTTGGCATGTCTATTTGATTGCAAATTCTATGCACCTTAAGATAAAGAGCCTTCATTTCTATTTGTATTACTGTTCTTTGCAGAGAGCTTTCTTCCTGAATCACTATCACTGTTAAACACTGAACTTTTCTGACTCATCAACTTTACCCCAAATCACTACATTGGTCAAGTGCCTCACTTTTCTTTTCAGATTTCTAAATCTTCCTTCATCTGACTCCTGCCTGCCCCTTTCAGTTTAAAGCCCTATGCGAAGCCTCTGTGTCCTGGCAATCACAGAACTAATTCCCATTCAAACTCTAAATATTAAATAAAATTACAGCTTGTGAAATACTAAATCCCACTTATACCAATTTCCAACTTTTCGGTCAGCTTTTTGTTTATTCAGCATTCTGTTCCCTGATCACTGTGCTTCATACTCCTGTACAATACAAATTACTTTCACATCTCATGCTAAATGCTAACTTACTTATGTCAGTAAGGAAAGCATACTTCTGTTATTAGTTGTGAAATATTTTGTGGTGTTGAATTTTTTGCTGTTTGAAAAAAGAGACAAGTTCTCTCATGTATTAGTTTTAGATTCTAGTCAGTTTTGTATTTACATCGTATTTCAAAAGCTCCATACAGAGAGCAATGAAGTGGCTGGGCCTGTAATACTCATACCCAGTGAAACACAATATGGTGTTGATCATTTAAAAAAGATGCTGATGTGTGGGACACGTTCAGATAATTTTTATCCAGAACAATGATGCCAAATGAATGGTGTGGGAGACAATTGGTTTTTTAACTCCCAGGCTTTCTTGACATTATAATCTTATTTAAAGATTTGAATTAAATATTTTTCTGGCAATGACTTGAAGGGCCAAAGACCACTTTCTATTCTGTAACAATTGTTTGATTTACTGTGATGGTGATGTAGTTGCTTTTGGTAAAAAAGTGGGCCAATCATTTTGCTTAACTCGCTTAAACTTTTCTAACATGAATTTGAGCCCGCCTGACTTCATTAAGGGGAGGTAATTCTTGACAAATGTGTTAATTCTTTGAGGAGGTAACTTGTAAATTCAACAAATGAGAGGCAGTGACGTGATCTATTTAGATTTCCAGAAGGCTTTTGACAAGGTGCCTCACAGGAGGCTGCTAAGATAAGATAAGATCCCTTCTGGCATGGATAGAGGATTGGCTGACTGGCAGAAGGAAGAGAGTGGGGATAAAAGGGTCTTTTTCAGGATGGCAGCCAGTGACGAGTGGAATTCTTCAGGCGTTAGTGTTGGGGCCGCATTGTACATTATCCGTGTAGATGAAGGAACAAAGAGCATTGTTGCTCAGTTTGCAGATAACACAAAGGTTGGTGGAGGAATAGCTAGTTTTGAGGCTGCAGAAACACTTAACAGGCTAGGAGACTGGGCAAAGATGTGACAGATACAATACAATGTGGGCAAGTGTGAGGTTTTTGCACTTTGTTTGGCAGAGGCATAGCCTATTTTCTAAATGATGAAAGGCTCGGAAATCTGAAGCACAAAGAGATTTAAGAGTCCCAGTTCAGGATTTTCTGAAGGTTAACATGCAGATTCAGTTGGCAGTTATGGGTTCTAGAATACAGGAGCAGAGATGTACTGCTGAGGCTGTACAAGACTGGTCAGGCTACATTTGGAATATTGTGAGCAGTTCTGGGCCCATATAAAAGGGAGGATATGCTGGTGTTGGAGGAGGTCCATAGAACGTTTACAAGAATGATCCAGGGGATGAAGGGCTTGTCATATAAGGTGCAGATGATGACTCTGGGTCCGTATTCAGTGGAGTTTACAAGGACGAGGGGGGATCTGATTGAGACTTTTAGAATACTGAGAGGCCTGGATAGAATGGACGCGGACAAGATGTTTCTACTAGTACGACTAGGACCCAAGGACATGGCTTCAGAGTGAAGGGGCAACCTTTAGAACTGAGATGAGGAGGAGTTTCATCAGCCAGAGGGTGATGAATCCATGGCATTCCTTGCAGCTGAAAGCTGTCATTGAGTGTATTTAAGACAGAACTAGGTCCTTGATTAGTAAGGTGCTCAAGAGTTATGGGGAGAAGGCAGGAGAATGGCGTTGAGAAACTTCTCTGTCACGATTGAATGGTGGAGCAGACTTGATAGGCCAAATGACCTAATTCGGCTCCTATATGTTATGGTCTTATGTAGTTACTGGAGTCTCGATCCTACTGTCCTGACTTGTATTATATGTAACTGAGATCACGTCTGTAGTGACTTCTCCTCTGACCTACTGGAAAAACAGACTCTCACCAGTTGTAAGACTAGGTTTCTGGTTTTTGGCGTTGTCCAGCCTGGTCATTTCTTTCTCTTAGTCTAGTCATAGCTGTCTTCCTTGTCATGGACACTAGATGTCCTCATTCACATCCATACAAATCATATGAAGCTACTTATTTTTGCAATTATTTAACTGAAAGGCATGTTCTGCATTTGCAGCTTTCCATTCATTGGGTTTGATGTTGTGAAATCTGGCTGTGCAACAGCATTATCATCCAGAATAAACTGCCTAGATTTTATAAATGATGTTCGCAGATATAGAACCATGTAAACGGATCTTGTGTCTTTTGGACATTAAGAACGAAGTAATGTAGTAATCAGTTCAAATTTATAAAGGATCTGTTAAGAAAATGATTATGGCTTATTTGGGGCAGGTGAAAAGTCATGTGCAGAAAAGCTTTTCTGATCTCTGGGCAAATGAATTGTGGCTGTCAAATTGTCATCATTCTAATGGCTTTTGCGTGCTTGTTTTTCTTAGTTCGAATACCTAAAACTATTCTCGAAGTGAGCCCTTACTCCCAGGACCCAGGCTATGTTTTTACCTACCCATTATCCAGGTTACTTGTAATGAGAACAAGCAGGAAGCTTTTATCATGGTATTTTGATGTATGGTTTATTTTAGGTGTCCTGACTCTTGACTTAGAAAGTGAACAGAATAAAAATTTCATTAGATGGTGGCTCAGGATAATAATTACTACAGAATTAATTAAACAATAATTGAATAAGCGAACAGAATAATTACTTATTGTAGATTTGTAACAGACCCAAACTTAACTTGTTCTTCGGAATGTTTAAAAAAAAAAGTTGCACGTGCTTTTTGTTTGTGCAAGACAGGTGTAGGACAACTGTTAAAAGCTTTCGGAGAAAAGTTATTTTAAAATTATCCTGATAAAATGTAGTAATCAATTAATGCTACACTAGAAGGAGGAAAAAGTTTTCAACTGGGAAACTACTGATGAAGATCAGAAGACTTTCTTCTGCTTTCAGAAAATGCACAAGGGGTCAGTATAGCTTCATATCAAAGGGTGTGAGGACACCATTCAATGAAAACTTGAGAATGAGGAAAAGTGGCAGTGCATTAAGAACTGTGAGTTATAATTTATGCAGAAACAAAGTTGAAAACCAAAGGAAGGCAGTTAATAATTGATCATTAGTCTTTGATAATACTGACTAATAGAACTTCCTTCCATTTGAAGACAATTTTAAGTGTAAACTTGACTAGAAATATCAAAGTATTCCATGCTTCAAATTGACCTGTTCATGGCATCTGCTTTTGTACATTATTCAGATTATCGCTCAAATCATTTTCAACTATTTGAGATGAATGCATTGAGGTGATCCTACTTATTCTTTTAGTTTTGTTCAAACATTTACTATCTTGCTGACTATACATGTAACCCCAGTATAAGTTTATTTCCTAAAATGAGATTTCATTGTGCAAATTGTGAGACCTCATTTAAGCAAAATTTAGTTTAATTTACAAATTGAGAAACTACAAAAATTATTATTCATCTCAAAATATTGCGTCAAAGAAAATAAACCATATATACTTTATGTATTAATTTTGAATGTATTAGTTTTTTTAGGGGATGCATTGTTGCAACATAATGTGATTTTTATACAGAATATTCAATCTCAAAGATGCATCATGATGTTTTATATCTATTTGCATAAATTCATTTATTTCTTCAAATAATATTCATACACTTGATTTGTTATATGGCTTGTGTTATTATTTTGTTCTCCTGTGGGAAACTGGAGTGTAGGAACGTGAATGTTATTCTGCCTGAGAAAATATGTCATCTCTGCCCATTTGCACTTCAATTGCGAATCAGTGGGAGTGTGTGGGGGATGGGATATTAACCCAGTTTGTTGAGATCATTTGTTACTGATTTTTTTTTGGCAATCTCAAAGAGTTGGAAGGTTGAGAATGCTTTGGCTGGTTGTTTGGGTTCTTTTAATTTTGAAAAGATTATTCAAATTTCTTATTTGTTTCATTTGGTCTCCGACTTGGTAGGTGCCAAATGGTAAAAATAGTTCAAAATGGCATATATTCATTCAAAAGCCTGACGGCTTTTTTGAAGAGTTCTTTCAGATTGTTTTTACATGATCATGTGTGTTGAAATATTGATGAATTGTTTTTAAATGTGGTGTTGCAGACAATATTTTATTTTGTCCCCTGCAGCTGAATATGACAATTCGAACATCTCTACAGAGGCTCCAAGAACAGATTAGCCAGTTGAAGGATTCTTTGTTGCGCAGTTTGTCGACACGCCAAATGTATCCTTTCAAAGCCTGTGCAGGTCCACATTGTAACAAAATATAGACAAAGATGATATATATGTAAATCCATGCATAAAGTACACACTGTGCACTCTCTTAATTGAAATTGTGGCAAAAGATCATGACTGAATAATCTGTGTGGCTATTTTACCAAACAATTGCTTTCTAAATACTGTGAAAGATGACCAAATAGAATGAAAAAGTAGTGCATTGTCTCTGCCTTTGTAAAATATCACAACTCAGGAATTGAAACAACTGCTTACCAACAACAACTTTTGTTGTTATTCTTGTAGGCATCAAAAGGAAAGTTAAAGTGAGTTGACTTCTAATCTCTTCAACTTGTTTATATTGCAAAGCTAGCTTTGTGGTTTGATGTTCAGAAGAAAAATATATCTGGAAGCATGGAAGACACTATTTTATGAGATCATGCAACAGCTATGTGCATTCAAATGGGGCTTTCATTTAACTTTTAAAAATGTGGATATATACAGATCTTTCAAGTTCATAAATAATTTTGCGCGCATTCCTTAAAGTGTGGTTATCAGCTTAGGTGGCATGAGCTCAAAATTAACAAGCTCAGACCAGAGCTTGCTTATGGTGGATTGTGCACAATCACAACTTGCTTTGAATTATGTCTGCAAGAATCCTGATCATGCACTGTATCCAAATAACCTGCACAGCAAAATGTAAATTCACTTGATGTAGTGCATCTATAATGGTACAATTTTAAAGGAGTGCCAGAATAGCCAATGAAAGCGGGAGGACAGTTGGATAGGCTTTTTTTTAAATTGTGGCAAATAGGAAGGATCTTTGTTGTGACAAACAGAGGTACAGAAGACATATGCATATTACTTCTTTAATAATTCATGTTCAGTACACAATTTGAAGCAGACAGGCGTCAAAATTTGGTGGATGATTTGTTAACAAGACAGCGACAACTTCAGACAGCATTCAAGAATGATGGCACAGAGCCTGATGTAATGAGGTATGATTTGAATTGAGCTTCCTTTAATTTGAAAACTTATTTTCAGTTTGGATTTGCTGCAGTGTTAGCAAGTTTTTTTTTGAAAACTTTTGCTATCATACAAATGTAATTAAATTGTTTTGCCCTTAATTAAGATATTGAGTAATATTTTAGTACCTCTTTTAAATTTAACTTTGTCGCTGACTAGCAAAGAGCTGAGTACTCAAAACCTAGAGGAATCAATACTTTGGTTCATAATGAAAACAAAGGATTTTGAATATAATCAACTCATGTGCTCAGAGGAGCCGATAAAAGGCATTACTGTTGTTTGCTGCATTACTATTAGAGTGGGTACGAGTGAAATTGAATCCTTTATGGTGCCGTTGAGGTACACAGCATATATGGATTCAAGAGGAAACTACATAATAACGGACAAAGGAATTAAAAGATATGTTGATAGGTTGGGATGAAATAAAGTAGAAGAAGATTCATTTGAGGCATAAATATTGATGATGAGTTGGGTTGAATGACCTCTTTTTGTGCCATTGATTCATGTTAATTATGTGAGCAAGTGCAGCACCCATTTTGGCAACGTCTATGTCCACTCATCAATTATACAATCATAGAATCAAATAATGCAGAAGATGTCTCTTCGGCTCATTGAGTCTGCACTGACAGAAAAGAACCTACTGTAAATCTATGCTAGTCCTACTTTGCAGTACTTGGACATAACCTTGAATGGTATGACATTCAAGTGCTCATCCAAGTACTTTTTAAAGGTAGTTCTACCTCAACTACCCTCCCCAGCAGTGCATTCCAGAATCTTACCACCCTCTGGGTGCAAAATCTTTTCCACAAGTCCTCTCTAAATCTGCCTTTCACTTTAAAATTATGCCCTTTCATTATTGATCTCTCAACTAAAATGAATAGCTACTTTCTATCCGTCCTACCTGTGTACCTCATAATCAGATACATCTCAATCAGATACATTTCAGCCTTCTCTGATCTAAAGATAACAACCTGAGCTTATCTAGCCTCTCTTCATAGCTAAAATGCTTCATCCTTAGCAATATCTTGTTGAATCTGCTCTGCAACCCCTTCAGTGCAAACTTTTATAATGCACACCCAACCGCACGCAATACTCCAGCTATGGCTGAATCAAAGTATAGCTGTTTAGTTCCAAGATAGCCTCCATGCTCTTATAATCAATGCTACCACTGAAAAAGGCAAATGTTCTGTATGCCTTTTGAACTAGTATGTGTGATGTGGAGGTGCTGGTGTTGGACTGGGGTGGACAAGGTCAGAAGTCACACGACACCAGGTTATAGTCCAACAGGTTTATTTGAAGGCACAAGCTTTCAAAGCGCTGCTCCTTCGTCTAATGAAGTGAAGAAAAGCACACAGGCGCAGAATTTATAGGCAGAGAGATCAAAAGATCGTACAAATGGTGTGAGTGGAGTGTTGACAAGCTGAATAACAAGTTTCTGCAGGTGATCAAAAGTGTCAGATGGCGTGAGTAAAGTGTCAACGGCTGAATAGCAAGTAAAGGAATGACCTATAATCTGATTATTTGAGGCAGAGAAATAATTACAAAAAAATGAAAATAAGATGGTATTGGAGACAAACCAAATGGCTGGAATAACATGATAGATGTAAGAGTTATATGCTGAGGGTCTAACCAAAGTAACAAATAATCCAAAACTGTGCAAACTAATTTTGCTGGAGAGATCATAACAAGTTATCAAGGTGATGGTGTCAAAACAGAAGATTTTACAAATACAGAACAGTATGGTTAGGTTACATTCAGCCCCCAGTCTTCGGGTAAGCATCCTCCAAGACGGCCTTCGAGATACATAACAACGCAGAATCGTCGAGCAGAAACTAATAGCCAAGTTATGTACCCTTGAAGATGGTCTCAACCGTGATCTTGGGTTCATGTCATGCTACATGTAACCCCACCATACTGTTGTGTATTTTTAACATCTTCCTTACTGTGCTATTTTGATACCATCACTGTGATAACTTGTTAAGATCTCTCTACCTTAATTAGCTTGTACAGTTTTCGATTACTTGTTACTTTGGTTAGACCTTCGGTATGTGATTCTTATACTTGTCATGTTATTCCAGCCATTTGGTTTGTCTCCAACACCATCTTAGTTTTAATTTTTAAAAATTATATCTCTGCCTCACTTAATTGGATCATAGGTCATCCCTTCGCTGGCTATTCAGCTGTTGACACTTTACTCACAACATCTGATGCTTTTGATGGCCCGCAGAAACTTGTTATTCAGCATGTTGGCATTCCACTCACATAATTTTTATGATATTTTGATCTCTCTGCCTGTAAATTCTGTGCCTGTGTGCTTTTCTTCACTTCAACTGATGAAGGAGCAGTGCTGTAAAAGGTTGTGATTTCAAATAAACCTGTTGGACTATAACCTGGTGTCATGTGACTTCTGTTCTTAACTGGTCTCTTAACCTGTTCTCCCACCTTCAGGGATCTGTGGACAAGCACCCCAAGATCCCTCTGTTCCTCTGAGCTTCCTCATGTGTTGCCATTCCTTGAATACTCCCTTGTCTTCTTACTACTTCCAAAGTGCATAAGCAACGTTTGTCAGGGTTAAATTCCATTTGCCATTGATCTGCCCATTTCAGCAACCTGTCTATCTCCCCCTGTAACGTTAGACCTTCTTTGTGGTCAACCATCCAGTGTTATTGACACACACACGTGCACACAGACACCCACTCCCTTCTAAATGTTGTAACTGTACCTGTTGCTACATCATCGTCTAGCATATCATTCCATATACGCACCAGTGGCTGCTCAGGTCCCTTTTAAATCTTTTCCCTCTTAGCTTAAACCTAAGCTCTCTAGTTTTGAAATCCCTACCCCAAGTATAAGACCTTTGCTATTCACCTTATCTGTGCCTCTTGTGATCTTATAAACCAGCCTCTCCTTATAACTCAAACCCTCCAGTCCCATTTAACATCCTTGTAAATCTTTTTTGCACCCTTTCCAATTTAATAACATCCTACAGCAGGGCTACCTGAACTGTACTCCGTATTCCAAAAGTGACTTCACCAGTGTCCGGTACAGCCTCAAATGGGTCCTAAGTCCCATACTCAATGCTCTGACCAATGAAGATAAGTATACCAAACTCCACTTTCACCACCCTGTCGACATAACTCACCACTCTCAAGGAACTATGTACCTATACCCCAGGTCTCTCTGTTCGACAACACTCCCCAGTGCTCTACCATTAACGGTACAAGTCTTGCCTTGATTTGTCTTACTAAAATGCAACACCTTACATTTATCTAAATCAAGCTCCATCTGCCACTCCTTAGCCAATTGGCCCAGCTAATCAAGATCATGTTGTACTCTTAGATAATCTTCTGCACTGTCCACTGTGCCATCAGTTTTGGTGCCATTTGCAAACTTACTAACCATGCTTCCTATTTTTTAAACAAATCATTTATGTAAATGACAAACAGCAGTGGACCCAGCACCAATCCTTGCAGAACACCACTGCTCACAGGACTCTAGTCTGGCAAAAAAACCCTCTACCACCATTCTGTCTCCTACCATCAAGCAAATCTTGTATCCAATTGGCTAGTTCTCCCTGGATCCCATGTGATATAACTAATCTACCATGCAGAACCTTGTCCAATGCCTTGTCTACATGAACTTTTGCAATGTCTACCACTCTCTGCCCTTATCAATCCTCTTGATCATGGATACACAGTTTCCCACACACAGATCAATTGCACTACCCTCACTACACACCTGATCACCTCCTTGAAAAATTAACTCAAATTTGTTCAGGATGACCTCTGTATGATAAAGCCTTGCTGATTATCCCTGATCAAACCTAGCTTCTCCAAATGAAGATTAATTCTATCCTCCAGAATTTTCTCCAATAGTTTCCCTATCACTGATGTCTTAAATAATGTGTCAGTCTATTTTGAAGGAGATAGAAATTTTAGACAGGAGAATTGCTGCTGTCTTCAAATACTGCCATGAGATCTTTAATACATACCTATGAAAACATGTGAAGCCTCAGTTTTAACATCTGTGAAAGACACTGCCTCATGCAATGTAACAATCTTAGATCTATAATGAAGAATTAATGTGTTGGTACAAAACTTAGCTAGTGCAGCTATGACAGGGTTTCCAAGCAGAGTCTGTGAGTTTTATTTACCAGTATGCCAATGGTCCTGATTCAATTGCAGAGCAGGACAGGCCACAACCGCTTGGACCAACAGTCTTGCTAAAATTTAAAAGTCGAGCCATCCAGGTGATCAGAAGTGCACTGACCTGCCACAGAAGACTAGGAGTCATTGAGCCACTGTCTTGCTGACGTCTCCTGAGTTGTTTAATTTCTTCAGGGTGATGACATCCTTCGATGTAACAGCACTATTTACATCCATAAACATTGATCTAGCGAAAGAGACAGTTGCCACACTGCAGGATGAATCAAGTAGGCAGGCACCCCAGGACACCAACAACATCAACAAGGACACCACCATGAAAAGACTAGATCTGTACCTCACAACCCACTTCATCTTCAACGACGGCATATAAAAACAAATCAACGGGACACCAATGGGATCCCCAATATCAGGATTGATTGCAGAAGCAGTAATGCAAAGGTTAGAACGGACAACGCTCCCTATTATACAACCAAACTTTGGGTCTGATATGTAGATGACACCTTAGTGATTATCAAACATACTAAACAAGAAGAAACCTAATGACATACAAACAACATCCTCACCGGGATAAAATTCACAAAAGAAGAAGAGAACAACAACCGACTGCACTCCCTTGACATAATGGTAGAACACAAAAACAACAGGGAACTCCAGACTATTGTATATAGAAAGACCAAACATATGGACCAGAACTCAATTACACTAGCAACCGCCTCAAAGCCCAAAAATAGAGCTGCATCAGGACTCTTTAATTGAGCCACAACACATTGCAGCAACCCGGAACTACACAAAGCAGAACAGGAGCACCTGTAAGGAGTTTTCAAAAGAAATGGATACTTGAAAAGCACAATCCAGCGTTACCTCCAAGACAGACCACAACAGGAAGACACAACATGACCAGACTCACGAATCACTCTACCATGCATCAAGGACATTTCAGAGATGATGACAAGACTACTCACACCACTAGGTATCACAAACCAAGAGCCACTCTGCGATAGCTACTGATGAATGTAAAGGATCCCATACCCAAAACCAGCAAAACTGGGGTAATATACAAAATACCATGCAAGGACTGTGGGAAACACTACATTAGGTCAAACCGGAAGAAAACTGACAATACAGATACACGAACAGCAACTAGCCACCAAGAGACACACATGACCAATTCTCACTGTCTCACTACACATAGACAACGAGGTACACAAATTTGACTGGGTCAAGACATCCATAATCGCACAAGCAGAGACACACCACGGAATTCCTGGAGGCCTGTTCTAACTGGAACTCCATCCACAAATACATTGTATTAGACCCTACGTACAAACCACTGAGAAACCAAACACGCTAACAAACTGAGGCATATAAATAACAAGCGGGACAGAACACTGACACTTCACTGGAGGCGCACTGTTAGCTAGCAGGGTGACGAAATGTTTGTAATGAAACCCACCAGCTCGGTGAGCATTCCTACAACCTCAGGGCTCCAATGTTTTGATGTCCCTGTGCCCTAGTGTTTTGGTGTCCTGGTGTTTTGTTGTTCTGTACCTCTAGTAGGTAAATAGCTGTTTCAAAAGCTGGTGCTAGGTGGTCAGAGGCGGTTGAAGACACATCTCAGACTTCTGGAATGCAACTAAGGGGTCAGAGGAATTTTAGAAAATGGCCAAAGGTAATAGGAGCCAGCAAAAAAAAAGGAATCGCTTGAAATCTATGAAAGGCTGCTGTCAACACATGAAGAAGCCCTGGCAATGAATTGGTTCTGTGTTCAGGTTCCCCGTAAGTAAGGCTATGAGAATCTTTGGGAGAACTGAGAAAGAGCAGGAGGTCAGCCTGAGAGGTGGAACAGTGATGAAAAGACATGATTGAATCATCAGGAAGTAAGCAATTGTTCGTGGCACTCCGAGTCAAAGAGAAATTGGAGAGAGTTGAAAAGTGGGAATTTTGGAGTGAAATCCTTATAGAGGACGATCCAAGTGTTAATGGACTTTTATGACTCGTGTAATGACTGGTGCTTGGGTGGGTTACTGACACATCCATGGGATTTTTCTTGGTCACATCTGCCATGAAATGTGCAGGGTATTGTTCTCAAGAACAGTTTGCTGGTTAAGTTATGTTGACCTTGTGTTGGTTTTTGCGGTTAGAGCATAAGATCGATAATTGCTTGTTCACTTCTTGCTGATTTTGGTTGTTAGAGTACAAAAGATATTGTAAGCTGTTTTACTTTTTTGACTTGATGTCTGATTTAACAAACCCGTGAAATCTAATGACCTTATTCTATTTGTAAAGATCTGGAATTCCCAAATTTCAAAAAAGTTACTGGTCCTTTACCAAAACATAACCAAGTTTGGGTGTCTGGTTTAGGATTTTAACAGTACATTACATTCTTATGTTATAGAGTGGAGGCTTGACCATACAACCTTTTGCCTCAGCCTATCATTGAATCAAACTAACATTTAATGGCTTCTTAGAAATGTGATATGCTGTAGTTTTGTTTGACTAAAATTCTACAAACTCAGGAGCGGAGAGTACTGAATATACACACAAAGTGGTCATAAAGTTTCTTTAAAAATAATTCATACAGACAAAAAATATTCTACAAACAGAGATTTCAATATTCCACTATCCATTTTGCCAAGTAGTATGATGTGAACGTTTCAATAAATTTGGAACAATAAACTGAATGTTCGGATTTAATCCAGGAATACTTAGTGCATTGGAAAGAAGCAAAGCACAGAGTTTGCTATTTATCCTCATCATGTTACATTGATTTGTTTATGAGCAAGTATGCAAGTAAACCGAGACCGTGTGATTCATGGGATAGACCACATCTTTGTCTTTTGTGTTCAAAACCAAGACTAATGTGCAAGTCAAACGCGTTTACGCAACCTCATTCCTATTTTCACAGGCTGCTAATCAACAGAAGATTGCCTGTAAATAGCACAAATTGACACCCCTAAATTTCACTCAATATAAACATCCATAAGAATAGATTGTGTAGAATTATGGTGCAGCACATGTACGAATTGAAAGGAGAAGCTAGCGACTGTAATTTCACTTGTATTTGAAAGCCAAAATACTATAGATGCCAAAAATATGAAATATAAACAGAATAAGTTGAAAATACTCAATAGATCATGCATCACCTGTAGAGAGAGGAAAAGATGCCACAACAGGCTAAACACCTTTCATTAGTTTGAATGACATTTTGCAAAATTGAGAAATTCAAAATAATTTACATTCCAGGATTTTTATCCAATGCTTTTCCCTTCCTGCTTTCTAAGATCTTTGATTAAATAATGCCCTTTCTCATTGAGAATCTGGTGATCTGACCAGTCCAATTCTCCTATTGTGCCTTAATGAAAACCTCTCTCTGTCACTCTCAACAATGGCTATTGCAGCTAATTCACTCCCACAGTGGATCCACAAACGAAAAGTTCCTCTTCCACTTTTAGTGTCAGATGCTGAGACCATTTAACTTTGTTAAGAGATTCCTCAATGGGACAAAACTGGCCATTTATATACAATGTATTTCCATTGAAAAATGCTCGTGTTCAGAACTTGATCGTTTGGTTTAAACTTTCATTTTCATTGCTGAAAATCTGTTTTTTTTTAAAACAAGATGTATGCAGCATTGTGAGCTTCATTCAAGGAGCAGAGGGTAGATGCTAGGATCACTGGGAGAAGGAGCCTTGGAAAGGGAGAATTCTATGATTTGGAAGTGTTGGGAGTGCAGTTTTGGAAATTGTGAGCACTGTGAGAGCAGATCTAAAGCAGGAGCTTAACTGATGCAACTTGGAGCAAGGGGTTTGTGGTCAAAAAAGGCGAGAATAGTGGGAGAGCCTGGGAACTTGGATTGAGTGTGGATGGCAGCTAGTCTTGGAGTGCAGGTTCCAGCAGCCTTTCAGTAAGTGGAGCTAAACACAATCAGAAATGTTCTGTTTGACCTGTTCTCAAACATGTTTAGCAAAAACCACCCAGTAACCTTCACTTCCCTCTTCAATCAAATAATGAGCTTAAATTTCCATGAACACAAGTATAATACTTCACACTGCATGTTGCAAGATTTCTAAATGTTTGTTCAAAACATTCCTTTAAATCCTAAATTTAGTTCATATACATAAGAGAATTCTTCTCTTATTGTGTATCATGAAGTTTCAGTTTGTCCTTTCCCACTGTCTTCAAAGTGACAATGTAGCAGCTGAGTTGTTTCAGTTCAACAGGTGTCTGGTTTAGGATTTTAACAGTACATTATATACTTCTGTTATGGAGTGGAGGCCTGACCGTACAACCTTTTGCCTCAGCCTATCATTGAATCAAACTAACATTTAATGGCTTTTTAGAAATGTGATATGCTGTAGTTTTGTTTGACAGTAAAATTTACTGTTTACTTTTACATTTACATTTGAAGTAGTGAACTAGGATGCTTGAGTGACTTGAAGTATTAGTTTACAGTAACTTGGTGAAAACAGATTATATTTGTAGCAGATTAAAATTTCTCTAAATTCTTGGCTATTAATTCAAGTATTTTTATGCTCAGATATGTCAGTGAAATAGCTATTGTTTCTTAAACTCAATTTTGGTATGAAAAACTCCCACATCAGGTGTAATGCAGGTTAGATGGCAGAGTAAAGCTAGTCTGTACCTCCTATGGGCCCCAAGTCCCTTCATCAGATGAACAACTCCTACTGCACCAAAGTGTTTTATCAATCATTGTGTAATGTGAATCTGCCAATTAACTTGAAATATTGGACAGTTTTGTGAAATAAGTGTATGTGTACTGTGGACTGAATTAAGTTTCCAAACTCATTTTGCAGAGTTAGGCTTGCATAACTTACCAAGAGAGGCAACTTATCCCATCATTCTGGGCTGAAGTTGAGCCCACATCCCAGAGGTGAAAGGTCTGGATCTAATCTATCACACTACTTGCTCAATAGCTTTTACTGAGCTGGTTTCATGGTACATTAGTGAATTATTCATGTGGTCTAATCTTATTATTGTAATAGTGCCTTGATAGGGTAGTCCCATATATCCTTGTAGGCATACAATCAATAAAGATCTCCTATACTGAAAAATTATTTTTCTGAAAATTGAGTGAGTGAAACATTTAATTTTCAAATTAGTATAATCCCTTGCTCCCTTGAAGTTCATCGTGTTCATCTATGGTAATGTCTAATCAACAGGAGACCCCTTCCATATTATTATCGAGTGACCACTGCGATGGGCAATTACGCATGTGCAGAAGTTATGCAGCCATCAGCAAAGGATGCTGTATTATT